GGAAAGAGTAAGGATAGCGGACACCAATTTGCAAGACAGATTTCTGCTGTTTCTAGTGTAACATACAACAGAGTTTGTGCTTGGTGCTCAGCATAACCTGAACGAGAGAGGAATTTCACGCTAGCTGAAACCCTCACTTGTGATTTGTGATAACAGTATGTGTCTACAAGGCAAGAGATCTGTCAACAAATATAGAACTTGTATTAGCCTGTGGCAGAGGTGACATAAGTCCAGATCCTTTTTGCATGAATATTCTGGGCATCTGCGCTCACATAAGTTATGGAAAGTCATCCTGCACGTTCTAGCGTGGACACCTACACAGATTTAAAAAATCGTTTCTTACCAACAATCATGTGGTTGCAGACATCGCAGAAAGTGGGTTTTTTGAAGATGTGCTCCTGGAAGATGTGAGCTTTGTTGTTTTCTGGCAGCTGCTGGGCTCTGGTGGGGGAGGACGCCTGGCTCTCTGAGCTGGGGAGCTGCCCGGTGCTTGTGCTCACCTCAGGCATCAAGTCTACTTGCAGTTTCACATCACTATTAGTCCTCTGGAAGAAATTGTCTGCACTTTTACTCCGCAAGCTTTTGGTCTTGAAGGAGAGTGATCGTTTCAGTTTCTGCAGCTGCAACAAATAAGCCAGTTACAATTACTGCCTTTTCCTCTTCAACAGCAAGGCAAGGCTCCTGGCTTTGGGGTGTGCTGTTGACAAGTGAACCTGGGAGCCACTGGCAGACCTTGAACCACCTGAACAATAAAATTGACTTTAGAATTCAACCAGCTATTTCAGAGCAAAGAAAACAGATCCCGATCACAAAATAAGCTACTCCACATATGCTTTCTGATAGACAATAAACTTGATAGCCCTAATGAATGCTGCTATTGGTCTTTTCTTTCAGGTATGACAGCAGAGAGGTACTGCAGAGAGTTGTACACATTGGAGAATATATCCTTTGTATTCAAGCATGAGAGAACTTAGAGTATTATTCATCCTCACACGGCCCTTAAGCAGCCTGTAAAGCCATTTCAGGAACAGGTGTTAAATGGCATTACAAAAGGAGTGAATTCAGTAAATATATTTGATATACTTAAATTTCTTGAATTTGGCAGAAAAAGAGATTATATGCGTTTTTGGCACAGAAATTTTTGTTTCCTTTTATTTTTTTAAAGGAAAGAAGGCTAAGGTGCAGTAACAGTATAATTAACCAGCCAATTGATAGTTAATGCATTAATTAATACTACTTAACACACGTTCACAGGTATTCTTGTATATTGTATTGTGTATTGATTGTCAGACTATTAAGCACCACAATAAGGCATTATTAACTTACATTTATTAACTTAAACTCTTTACCTGTAAACTATCTCGTACCTTATCAGAGCTCCTCTCATCCTTCCCCCCCAAATTTTATGTAAGGCTGAGAAGGGCGGTAGGTGAGGCACAGAAGCTATCAGGATGTCAGCTACGCAAATCTGCAGGTTTGTCAACTCCGATGGCCCACAAGTAGAGCCTGGGTAAAAGGAAAGCCAGCTCTGCGTCCACTTCATGTTTGCTGTCTCTGAAGTGCAATACCTCCATATCACCTTTCACTCAACATTATTCCAATCACTGCAAAATCATTTCAATCACTGCTGCAATTCTCTGGGCGAATGTGATGTAACAACTGAAATTTTCCATGCCGCTCAGGCTGTCTGTGGTA